AACATCATAAAACTTGAAAGCATGAGGATTACATTTTGATCATTTGTTCTGCTGCTATATGAACACACTGCATTCACATTCAAAGCAAACATAACTTCCTTTGGGTGTCTTATGATCGTTTCTTTCTGCAGTGTTAAGGCTGAGAAATTTAGACCAAACCCTCTCTTATGTGCACCTCCCCCAACGTCCTCTCCCATGAGGAATGTAAGTTATGAAAGGGCTCCTATGTCAGTTTCTATATGCCATTCAGCTGTGACTCTGTAAGGACGAGAGCGAGAGAAAATAACTGACAGAGTCACTGACTGGTGTTGTTTGTGTAGCTCATGCTCAGACACTGGCCTGCAGCAACAATAGGATCCCAGTTCAGCCATGTATGAGTCACAGCTCTGTGATCCCGACAGTGCCGCTGAAAAGTTGGACAAAAAAAAAAAAAAAAGCAGAACACTGGCCTTGACATTTCTTGGAAACTGTTTGTCTTTTATATTTCAGAGGTGTATGACAGTATGGGACTTGCCACTATGGTGTTTTCTGGATTCTGAAATTATACTGCACACTGCCATGTCATTTCATTTTATCACTTACTTTTCCTACCATTAAAGCATTTGATGATTAGAACAAAACATTGTGTGATTATTCATTCAACGGTTCAACACAGACACTGGACGGGCTGTGTGTGTCGGTGAGTGTGTGGGTGCACATGCATGCATTAAATAAGCATTATTACTCTTTTGCCGAGGGTCCTTGTTAGAGTATGTGAATGCAGAAATGTGTGGGGGTGAGCAATTTGCATGCTATCGGTAAATTCATAAGCAGAGACCCATTTAAGGTGCGCTGCATCTAACTCGGCCGGCAACAGTCACAGATATAAGCACACGGCTGCAAGGAAAGAGAGGAAAAGTGGTTGTGAAGGACATGAGACTGCGATATTGGTCCATACATTAGGGTCTAATCTCAAACTGACAGACACTGTAGATAGATGTGAAGACGAATACCACTACAGGCAGTATAGGGGACTTCCCTTTTCCTTTTTTTTTTTTTCAAACTGCCGTCCCCTCCCGCCAATGAACTATGCAGCTGCTTACTGTGGTTTTCTGCCTGCCCCCTCCACTTCCTTGCCTATAAAAACCCTGACTCTCCCTCTCCTCCGCACTTCTGCCTTGTGTCTGAATCCTCAACGTCGGTCGAAGGACAAGCAGACAAAATGGTGAGTAACTGCTTATCTGATGACGTAGCCTTGAAATGTCCATTCTCCCTCTCCTCCCTTCTGCCTCTCTTTGTCTCTCTTTCTCAGCATTAGATGGAATAAATATCCAGGCCTCTTTAATGCTCACAAGGCCTCTGCTGTGGAGTTGGAGGCTACTGATAAAACAGCAGCTTTATTCTAATAAATGACAGCAATTCTGCGCTAAATTTATGTAATGCAACTTTTTAGGGCACGTCTGTTGAGAATTCAGGGAGAGGACTTCACTGGAATAGTTACATGTGACTCCAAGACAAGTCTTTTCTGTACTCTTGTCAATCTGGGTCAGATGACAGACACTTTGACTTGAGACTGCTTAGTCATTTTCCAACTTGTTTAATGTACAGCTAATCAGGAATCAGGAAACGTGCCAACAGATGGGAAGAAATTACCAGAGTCTCAGTTATGTGCTTCGGATTACAGTTTTCTTGACTAAGAAGGAGTGAGCAGGGTAATCGTGGCAGTGGGGGGATGGATAGACAGAACAGAGAAAAGAGGAGTGGTCTGGCCTAGGCAGTATGAGTTAGTTGGCAGCCATTTTGCAGCTGTTGGGAGTTTTTGGTAAGAGAGATGTGGAGAGAGAGCGAGGGGAGAGAGGGAGAGAGAGAGACATCCCTGACTGTTACACAGCACTATGCAGCTGGACAGGATGGGGGAGGAGAGAGACACAAAGAGGGAGGGGATGAGGAAAGGGAGGAGATACAGGAATAGAGAGGAGGGGGTGAGGTTTTCACATCTTCCTGAGGCATGGCCTTCCTGTCTGCCACATACAGCAACTGTGTGTTGCAGTTTTTTTTCCCCTCCCAGAAATCCATAAAACTGCTCTTGCACAGAAAGGGGGCTTTAAGTTATGTCACATCTGTAATTACATTCTCTGCCCATCAATTCTACTATGACAACCCAGGATTCAGACTCTACTACCTGCTTTATTTGGATGCTGACTTGCTTGTATGCGCAGTGCACTACTGGAAGCTTCAGCATTCTTGTCTGGCACAGTTTCCAGCAGTCTGTAACTATGCTGTTTCCTCCCCAAACCAAATGCAGACGTTGTACAAAGACTGTCATTAGCTTTGAATTCCTTACAAAAAACAGGCACCATTTTAACTGGTCCACACTGTAGAAACACACAACTATTCCAAGACTGTAGTCGTACTTGTGAGGCAAATAATGAAGCACTTTGGGGCAGCAAATGTGCGTCATGTCTAACAAAATGTTAGTTTGTCAGCCTTGCCTCACCAATTCCTCTTTTGTTTTTCAGCGTGAGTGTATTTCTATGCACGTCGGCCAAGCCGGAGCCCAGATGGGCAATGCATGCTGGGAGCTGTACTGCCTGGAACATGGGATCCAGCCAGATGGACAGATGCCCTCTGACAAGACTATCGGAGGAGGAGACGACTCCTTCAACACCTTCTTCAGCGAGACAGGGGCAGGAAAGCATGTTCCCAGAGCCATCTTTGTCGACCTGGAACCCACTGTCATCGGTCAGTTACTATTTTGGACATTATGAAAACTGTTTATTATCACTAGAACTATTATTTACATAGATGTAACAAATAAAGGGTTTATTTGGACAATTGTTGCTCTTCTTGCACATTATTTTTCATTGTTATTTCCATTTAATTTGTATGAATTTAAGTTGTGCATTTTAAAAATTGTAAATGAACAGTATAAACTACTTAAACTTCAAGTAAAGTATCATAGTTTTGATGTTTTCCATATTTAATTTCAGTTCTAAGCAAACACAATGTTTGGTGCATGAACATTCTTCAGTTCCGGCTATCAGTTCTTACTCTCTTTTTAAATTATTCATTTCACAGATGAAGTGCGCACAGGAACCTACCGTCAGCTGTTCCACCCTGAGCAGCTGATTACAGGAAAAGAGGATGCTGCCAACAACTATGCTAGAGGACACTACACCATCGGCAAGGAGATCATAGATCTTGTTCTGGACAGGACACGTAAACTGGTGAGACTTTGGTTTCATTAATTTACTGGACCGGTTTAACATTGAGAAAAAAACCAAAACAAAAACAACAACATTTAGCCTTAGCTTTAAATATACGCATCAAATGGTAATGTTTGATAAAGCAATTTTATAACTTTAAAAAGATTATGTGGCTGCAGTGGGAATTCAATTAATTTAAACCAATTTTCTTTTCAGGCTGACCAGTGTACTGGCCTGCAGGGATTCCTCATCTTCCACTCCTTCGGCGGAGGCACCGGCTCTGGTTTCACCTCCCTGCTGATGGAGAGACTCTCTGTTGATTACGGGAAAAAATCCAAACTTGAATTCGCTGTCTATCCAGCCCCCCAGGTCTCCACAGCAGTAGTGGAGCCTTACAACTCCATCCTGACCACCCACACCACCTTGGAGCACTCTGACTGTGCCTTCATGGTGGACAACGAGGCCATCTATGACATCTGCCGCAGAAACCTTGACATTGAAAGCCCAACCTACACCAACCTGAACAGGCTCATTGGCCAGATTGTGTCTTCAATCACAGCCTCGCTTCGCTTTGATGGAGCCCTGAATGTTGACCTGACAGAGTTCCAGACCAACTTGGTGCCCTACCCTCGTATCCACTTCCCTCTGGCCACCTATGCCCCGGTCATCTCCGCTGAGAAAGCCTACCATGAGCAGCTGTCAGTTGCTGACATCACCAACGCTTGCTTTGAACCAGCCAATCAGATGGTGAAGTGTGATCCACGTCACGGTAAATACATGGCCTGCTGTCTGCTGTATCGTGGAGATGTGGTGCCCAAAGACGTCAACTCTGCCATCGCAGCCATCAAGACCAAGCGCACCATCCAGTTTGTGGACTGGTGTCCCACAGGCTTCAAGGTGGGCATCAACTACCAGCCTCCAACTGTGGTTCCTGGTGGAGACCTGGCCAAGGTGCAGAGGGCTGTGTGCATGCTGAGCAACACCACAGCCATCGCTGAGGCCTGGGCTCGTCTGGACCACAAGTTTGACCTGATGTACGCCAAGAGAGCCTTTGTCCACTGGTACGTTGGGGAGGGAATGGAGGAAGGAGAGTTCTCAGAGGCCAGAGAAGACATGGCTGCCCTGGAGAAGGATTATGAAGAGGTTGGCACTGACAGCATGGGAGAGGAGGATGAAGAGGGAGAGGAGTATTAAGGCGTCAAACATCATCACGCATTCCAAAAGTTAATGTGAACGTCACACATTCCTAGCAACACTCTGATAACCTGTGGTGGTGACTTGTCAGTATTATCAATAAAGTCCTGATAAGCATTTTAAGTGAACTTGTGGTCATTCTTGAACTCTTCTTGCATATCCCGGTGGGCCAAAAGAAATATTAAAATAAAGTTATTACAAATAACACTTCCTGGATATTGGATATTACATGGATATTTTATTAGACTTGTTCTGCATATAGAGGTTTTTCATTTGTGTTTACTTGCAACTCCACTTTATTTTCTAAGGAAATTCCAGCTTCTCTCCCTTCGCCTCTTTACTGCTGTTTTGTGCCATGTTGATGAGTGGCTGCTAAGTGTAAAGAAAGGGCTTGGCTGGCTTGGTTCCTGCAGTTGCTTCTTTATTCCAGCAGATGGGAGCAATGTGACCAGCAATGGAAGTGGAGGGAGTTGGTTTTGTTAGACTAAATAAAGTACAGCACCAGGTGGTCAAACTCACAGCTTGTATACGAAGGGTTAAACAGCACGGCCAGTCCAGCTACCTCTGGCATCGTGCAAAGAGCTCACCATGTGATCCTGACTGTTCTGATGAGTCATACACTAAGATAAAAACCTTGCTGGCAAATTACATTATCAAATGTGAAAGTAATGTCTATTTAGCAGAATTGTCCCTGTTACAATTATATTATTATCACAGAGCCATTATGTTGTGGGATAATTACTTTTTACATTTGTTCAAAGCGTTTGGTAAGTTGATGCAATTACTCATATCCTTGTGGGTTTCAGTATATAACAATAAATCATGTTTTATCAGGCTTTAATCATATGTGAAGATTTCAGGGAGGATGCAGAAAGCCTGTGGAGACTTTCATTATGAAAAAATGCTAGAACATTACTAATAGACAAAACAATGCCTCAGACATGGTCATATCTTATTTCTTCAGCACTGAGCCTTATTTATACTCACAAAAAAGGAATAATGACCTTATACAGTCACAACATCTATTGCAGAATTAGAATAATGCATGACCCATTTTATTTTTAATTGTCAACTGGTGCCTGAATTCAGTTTGCTTTTACATAAATAAATACATTCCCACTATTAATTGATAAAGAAAAGTCAAGTCATTGTTCTTTATATAGCACATTTAAAGCAACAGTCTTGTTGCAAAGGTGTTTTCCAATAGAAAAAAGGCTGGTGTTGTGAATTAAGCTAACAGATATAAATATAGAGGTTAAGATAAGATAAGCTAGGACAGAACTTTAATAAGTCTGGAGGTAATATTTCTCGTAGATATTGCTCAGAAAAAACAGAATAACACAAAAATATTAGGATTGACAACCTACAAAACAATGACATAAAATACAACTTTACCTTCCTATAATAAATAAAAACCCTATAGACCCAACAGCATTATTAATTATGTGGCCAAACCATGGATCCCCCTATTTTTATGGGTATTATGATGTGTTTTTAAATTTTTTTAATTCATTTTATCTTATTTGTATAACCCATGATGGAGATGAATGATTCACAAACTTGTGCATAAACAGTGTTTGAGCTCATAAATTCTTGGGGTTGAACACCTAGATCAATACAACAATACAAACTTGTTACTCATGGATAAGATTAACTTTATTTTCAAAACTTTAGGTATGTTTTAGTTTTAGACATACAGATATTATTTTAGTTTTTTTTTTTTTAAACTGTTTGATTAATGCTTATTAATTTAGAGTTAACTGGTCAAGGACAAACGATAAAACTTTATTTAAACTTTTTTTAAAATCACTGATATTAACGTTTCTGACGTCAAAATAATGTCCAATAAACAAGCAGCAGCGTTGCTTAGCAACAGCAGCGAAGAGTTTAGGCTAGCTAGCTTGTGCTACATTAAGCTAATGTAGCATTATTAACTTAACATAAGGTCGGCTTGCTAGCCTTTTAGACAAACAATATTAATCTGTATTGCTGGTTAGGTGTTATGTTGCTGAATTAGATGATGTTCATAATTTATCAGAAATCTAATATTAGCTAGGCTACAGTATTAAAAAAGTATTGCTGCTCATGGGGGGTTTCTTTGTCAAAATATAACATCAGCACACGTCAGAACTACTTTCCAACAGTAAAGGTATTTCGGTGGTGTTGAAAGATTACGAAGACACCCCAAAAAAAGACCTGAAAAGAAAAGTGAAAACTGAATGAATTATGGTGAGGGGGGCCTCGTACCTCATGGGGGCGTCTTTTATAAACAGTCTGGCCGCTCGGCTCGCTATCAGTGCAACAGGCCGGCGCGGAGGCAGGGCGGGTCCGCTGACAAACTCCAGCAGGTTCTAGACGCCGCTCTATTTTTCTCCTCCGCCGACGGTGACGTACGGCGGTGCAGCCCGGAGCAGCACCGAGCACAAACAGGGCGGACTGAGGGATAACGGTACCGTACTGTCACATTGTGTTGTCGGGGGGGGGATAACAGCGTCGGTGGTGGTGGTGGAGAGGCTGTCTGAAGGAGGCGGTGGCTGTGCGGCTGTCACGGAGAGAAGAAGCGTCCGGCGGCTATCACAACTAATTCATTGTCACTCCAGACCGGTGGTGGACTCACGGCTGCAACTGCTAATTCTGACGGTAGGTCCACAGCTATGGCTAGTCATAACAAGTTGTGGCTACCGACACCGACTTACACGTATCGTAGCTGCGTGCACTTTATCACTAATGTCAAACTTTACCATAATAGGAAATGTGTCACCGAAATACCATATATATATATTCATTATTGTACCGTTAACGGCGGCGTACTCGAATAGCACAACACCTGTGCCTCCCAAGTGCATCTGCCGGGTGTTTAAGCTTGTGTAGGCCCACTGTCATGTCAGCAGCAGTTGTCGCTAGAAATAACATAGTAGTAATACTTGTGTGAGCGCATGGCTGCTCCCCGGGGGGACGCAGAAAGTTAAGTTTAGTCGTTTTGTGTCAGTTTGGAAGCCCCCCCCTTTCTTCAGGCCGGAAACTGCTGCAGCCCACTAATGGGATTGGCATGGTGGTGGCTAGCATGCTTGTCTGTGGCTATAATGGAACTAATGACTGGACTGAGGTCTTTATTTCAAGGGCACAGCACTTGGTACTTTCAAGTATTTTATGCTAAAGCAGTTTGTTAAATGTTGATGTTAATTAGAGATTGGATGAAATCAGCTGGTCAGTCTATTGATTTGCTCTGTCTGCACCTTGCTTAGTCATTGTAGAGACATGTGTTGACTGGAAGTTATCAAACTATTTCATACATACTACACAAAAAAAGGAAATTCTCTCCATAAATTACTTTTTCTACTTTAAATTATCTAATGGAGTTATTTCATGCATGGATGTGAGATAAATCACTAATCTGTACATGGAAAGAGTCAATTCTAGTCCAAATCCATGTCTTGTTGTTATTTCATGACTCACTGCATGTGTGATGAATCATTCCTAAAACTGCTGAAGGAATGCTGCTTTAAAAGGCGACTCTTTAACCCAATTAACCCAACTAATGGACACACTGAGTAGGTCTAGTTTGGTGTATCCATACATTTAGGGTGTCTTTAATGCAATAAAAATGTATTTTGTAGTTATTTTGCAATGGACAAAAGATCAGTTACGATGACGTCATGAAACAAAAAGAAGATGAATCAGACATTATTAGCTCACAGACACGCTGAGTGGGACTTAACTACATAGATCCTTTAAATCAAAGAAGTGCTGTCCCATATTCTGTATTTAATTCATTTAGTTCATTGTTCAGGAATTTTTTTTAAAAAAATATCATTTTTTAGCAGTTCCTTGGACAGTTCCTTTTGTATCTGTTGCTCACTTGTCTGCAAATTAAATAAAACATGAGCATGGAGTTTGTTTTCTATTTGTGAAATCTGGAATTTGTCAATAGATACCAAGGTTCTTCGTCATTTATTAAATGCACAACGCGTGCATCCACACATGAATACAGAGATGATTATATGTAAGTTAAACCTTTTAACTGTTTTGATTTTTAGGGTGGTGTTTTGAGGAGTGACAGGAGGCGACATGGTGGACTACTACACCATCCTGGGAGTGCCCAGAACAGCCTCCCAGGATGACATCAAGAAGGCGTGAGTATCGAGTGTTTGGCAATGAACAATAAAGAAAAAGCTCACTTGAGTAGAATTTTTTGTTTTTTTTCTGAAAATGCGTTTGATGTGTAACTGCTCACACATTGGCAGTTTTATGCGTGTTAAGTGTATAAATTCAAGACAATCTTTGAATTTTTCTAAACAAAAACAATTGCATTACAAAACATGAAAACGTCTTTGCAAAAAGAACAAAATACCAAAAACACACGACATCACTGTACATTAAAATAGCTTCTACACATAAAAAGAGGTTTGGGAACCAATGGTATGAAAAATACCGACCTCTAGAACATACCAAGTCATGTCTTCTTTCATTTCCACCCTTTGCTTATTGATCTGCTTCTTGTTGTTTCTGAGTCTCGCAGTATTTCAGCTGTTAGTACATTACACACTCAGCACATGTTTGGTTTTATGCATGTGTCAGTGTTTGTTTGGGTTTTGTTTTGTTTATTCAGGTACAGGAAACTGGCTCTGAAATGGCATCCTGACAAAAATCCAGACAACAAGGACGAGGCAGAGCGAAAGTTCAAAGAACTTGCCGAGGCCTATGAAGTCTTGTCTGACAGTAAGCTTTGACAGTTTGTACGATATGGAGTGTATAATCTGTGTGTGTGTGTGTGTGTGTGTGTGTGTGTGTGTGTGTGTTGGATGTTGGATGTTTGTATGAGATATAAAAGAAATGCACTGATGTCTGTGGATACTATTTTCTTTCATAACAGAGAGCAAACGTGATGAATATGACAGATATGGGAATGACAGAATGCGACACACAGGTAAATAAAAACTCTTTAAAGATCCTTTTGCAGCCATTAAAGTAATACTTTAGAAAATCCTACAGCTCATGTGAAGGGATATGTGAATATTAGTTGCTGCTAATGGCTAAATATTAAGATTGACTCTGTGTTTTAGTTCTTCCCATTTCCTTTCTACGGCTATAACACTTCTCTCTGACATCTCCATTTCTCAGGTTCCTCCACCTCAGACTTTTCATCAGATTTCCCAGGATTCACCTTCACATTCCGCAACCCAGACGAGGTGTTCAGAGAGTTTTTTGGTGGACAGGATCCCTTTGCTAGCTTCTTTGGTGAGTCATACACAACATGCAGCACATGTACTTGTCCAGTTATTTATTGTATAAAATTAAACAACATTTGGATGTGTGAATATCGGCCACATTAAATAATATAATCACAGTAATTGGTCTCATGTGTGTTGTAACTGTCAGATCGGGACCTTTACTGCGAGTCACCCGTCTTTTCTCTTGCCTCATTAACTTGTCCCATTTGCCCATTACTCTCTGCTCTTTTTGTGTCATCCAGATGATTTCTCGTCTTTCGGGAGCTCATCTCACCATGGCCCCAGCCGATTCTTCTCTTTTCCTTCAACAGGAGGTAAAGAAACAAGTAGAGTGCATTTTCCCGTAGTTGGCTAATCAGACATTATGTCATTTTATACTGCAAGGAAATGAAAAAAAATTGTCGCTGAACATCTCTGTATTTTATCTCTACCAGTTTTGGACTACAAGTGCAACACAGCAGGGACAATAGATAAAAGCTGATTGGTCAACACTCACTGAAATATAAAAATGAAAAATGTTTTTTGTTTGTTTGACTTTCCACTATATTTAAAATATCCTTTTGTTTTATAGATTAAAATCTGACTGATCAAACAGTTGCATAATTGTGTAACTCACTGGTAAAACTTAACTAACCAGGGGTTAGTAGTTTTGTTTATAAATGACCTTGTTCAGTATTTTCTTTCTCAGTGTTCTCATCCTGGACTATCTGTGCCATTTTATCCACTTACATTCACGCTTGCTGTTCTAACGCCATGGGAGCGGTATTCTCTCTCAGCACAAATCAAAGCTCCGTAAAGACGCATCAAGCTAAATGAGTCTCTTCTGCTCTCTTCTCTTTCATCATCTGCTTTTCTGCAGTTGACTTTACGTCTTTCTCCTCTTCCTTCGGCGGTCTGGACGGCATGGACGGCATGGGTGGAGGGATGAGCAATTTCAAATCAGTTTCTACTTCGACTCGCATCGTAAATGGCAAACGCACCACCACCAAAAAGTATGTTATGTCTTCTCTAAAAGAGTTGTCCAACCAAGGAAATCAAAAATTTTCAAGACAAAAAAGTGAGCAATTAATCGAAAAATATCAGCCATTGTTGTGTAGTTTTACTCTCCAATGAAAAGCTTTTAAAGGTCTGGCAGGCTGAAACAAACATTACAGAAACGTTAGTTTAAATGTCTCCATTGTAATTTGGAAAATAATTTTAGATTTATAGTGCTTTATCTTAGCAAAGGTGTGATGCGTTTTGCATGCAATTGTTATGTAACTGCAAACCTGACATGTGGTGAAAATGTCATTTTCTCTCTCAAATTTAATATGGATGCAACTGAAGGGCTTATTGGGTTATTTCTTAGAGTTTTGTTTGACTGTTCTTGTGAATAAACTACAAACGATGGCTTTAAAGCTAAGTGAATTTTATTTGTCTGCTAATAAGAAAAAATTATGAATATTTGATTAAGTTTTACTAAAGAGTATCCTTTCCATTGAGCGTGCTTCTTTGTTGGATAAGAGAAAGTGTGTGTAATACATATACACACAGTGATGGAGGCATTTTAATAGTTCCACTTATGTTTGCATTTGTCTTGCCGACAGGATAAAGGAGAACGGGCAGGAAAGAGTAGAGATTGAAGAGGACGGGGTGTTAAAGAGTGTTCTAATTAATGGTAAGACCGTGCACACTGAATGGCAGGGAACAAGTCTGTGACAAATAAACTTTACACTTGTGTGTGTGTTTGCTGTTCCCTCACAGATTCACTACATCTGTCAACAACATTTCAGCATTTTTAGTGAATTTTATTTTAGTTTAGTTCTTAAGGTTCCCTTAAACTTGTACGACTTGACGCCATAAATGTGGATGGTCTTAACCCCAGTATTTTAGCTTGTCAGTTTGTTTGTAATGCAGGTCGTGGTTTTCTACTAGACTCTCTACTTTAGCATAGCAGCTGTTGTTTTAGATGTGCTTTATAAATAACAGTGACTAAAGTCGACTATGGAAAGTGTAATAGATTTACCAAAATAGAACGACAGTTGCTTATCCAGAAGGTTTCAAGTCAGGCTTCGGGTTTTAACTGTTCAAACAGATGAGCTTGTACATAGCGGTGTTGCAGTTGAAACTGTGCTGTGGTGGCAAACCTACAATAAATACCTCGTTTCTCATAGTTACGCACTTCTGCAAGTGTATGCATTTGTTGGACTGTGTTGATAGTGCAAAAACAACAATGTGTGTGTTGTTCCCAGGTGTGGAAGATGAAATGGCCCTTGCTCTGGAGCTGAGCCGGCGAGAGGGACAGACCCATCAGTCTCCTCACAAGCCCCGAATCCAGAACAGATCACCTGCCGAGCCTGACAGATCCCGCCCAAGCCCTCACTCTGCAGCCACACACCGGTCGTTTAGCTCTGCTCCTTTCTACAACTACGGCGTTTCGGGAGGCAGCGAGGAAGACGAGGACGATGAAGACCTGCAGATGGCTTTGGCATGCAGCCTGTCAGAAATGGAAGCCCAGCAGAGAGCTGCAGCTACTGACTTCATATCAGGTGCTGGGGGTGTGGGCAGAGCCACAAGGGAAAATGTTAGGGTCCATAGAGGAGGCAGGGTTGTTACGGAGACATTTTTGAATGTGCGTACAAGTGAAAAGGTTTTCACAGGGCAGAACGACGTACAGGGTCAGTTTAAAATGAGCTCCGGTCCTGGAGATAAACGGGAACAGGAGGGACAGGGCACCAGAGAGCCAGTCTCCTCTCCTGAGTCGTCCACTACTGCCAGCACTACGCCACTGAGCCAGTGCAGCGACGACAGGTTTAAACCTGCCATAAAAAATAACGACGGCTGTGTGAAAAAGAAAAAGAAGTGTGGGTGTGTTGTGTGCTAATGCAGCGTCTGCGTGTGTGTGTGTGTGTGTGTTTTTGGGATGCCTTATTATACGTTTACTTACCTCAGTGTTTTGACTACAAGTGGACTCTAATGTAACGTGATTGCTCGAGTCTTTATTTGAGGCAGTGCCAAAGCTGATGACAAGGCTTTCATGAAGTCATAACACCCCGAAAAGGAAACAAGTTTCACAAGATTCGTGATTTTTATTTTTATTTTTTTCTGCTGATTTTTTTTTGATGGCTAACCTAGATGTTTCCATATAATGTGCCAATACAGCTAAAAGTTTAATTCTTTTTTTTTTTATGCATGCAAAGCAATGCAGAGGATTGCTTCTAAATGTATGTACATTTTCCAGATATTTAGAGACTGAAAAGAATCGGATTAAGCAGGGATTTACATCGAGTGTAGAAATGGGAAAGTCAATTTTTATTAACAGCACTTTTTAAAGCAAAGTTATAAAATAGTGAACAGTATACAGATACAGAAAAAATAACTTCCATCGAAAGCAATATCATTTTTTTGTAATTAATTAAAGCCCTCTTATAGGGAAAGTGAGTCTGTGAAAATGGGTTTTAAAGAATTTTTAAAGCCATTTGCCTACTCAGCTGATCTAACAGAGGTCGGTGGACTGTCTCACACAGGCAGGGCCTGAACAGCAAAAGCACAATCACCTTTGGATTTGGAGTGTCAGGTACAAATATGAGGCCTTGGTTGGATAATCTGACTAGCCTAGTAGAGTAGTAGAGATGAAGCAGACCACTGAGATGTGTGGCCTACTGTCTGATAAACAGACGCTCCTGTGCTTTGTGGGAAGCAAATAAAGGAACCTTTGTTGTGATGTGGGACCTACTGTTGTAATTAGTTATCTCTCTTGCTGCTTGGCTGATAAATGAGCATACCAGTAGCTTAAGGTCAGAAAAATGAGGGTAGGGATACATTTTAGGTCTCTGGTTGAAAGCAGGAGCTGCAAGGTGGCTCTGAGCTAGTTTATGTCCCAGGAGGACACCCAGGATCTTTCTAGGTGGAGTTTGCATGTTCTCCCCGTGCAGCGTGGGTTTTCTCCGGGTTCTCCGGCTTCCTCCCACAAAAACATGTTGAGGTTAATTGGTGATTCTAAATTGTCCGTAGGTGTGAATGTGAGTGTGCTTGGTTGTCTGTCTCTAAGTGTAGCCCTGTGATAAACCGGTGACCTGTCCAGGTGAACCTGCCTTCACTCTGAGTCAGCTGGGATAGACTCCAGCCCCCCGGGACCCCAGTGGTGTGTAGATAATGGATGGATGAAAGTATAGATTTTTTATAATGCTGGTGAGCTGAAAAGAAGCAGGTTTGTAGAATCTCGTTTATGTTTGTCCTGGTTGGTAAATGGTGACAATAGAATCTTGAATATGAGTTTTAAACTGTGGAAGGATGTTTTTGGTAAGGGAGGATCTTTTGACTGATCCTCGCTTTGAAACAGACCCTGAAGGGACTGTTAAGGGTTGCAACATGGTTTTAGGATCAACGTTAGAATGAGGTTAGGTTTTGGTAAAGAATTAGGCATTTAAATGTGAAGTTTGAGGTTAGGATAAGATAACAAGGACTGAGTTGTGTCAATGAGAGTCCCCATAAACACTGAAGTACAAATGTTTGTGTGTCAGTACGCATGGTTTCCTGTGTGTGTATGTGTGTGTTTATGTGTGTGTGTATGTGTGTGTGTGTTTGGGTAAGCTGAGAGCCTGCCATAGAATTTTCTCATTCAGACTCTCTGGCAAAAGGGAATGTATCGGTGCTGTGTGACATTCATCACAGTGTGGGAAAATAGATCAAAATCAAAAGTAGGCCACGGAAGTTTCTGTGGTAACCTCTGTTTACTATACGAGTGATAATCATTTCTAGAATATGTATAACGACAAGTAGTTGGGTAGAGCACACTTTAGTACTTTATAAACACACACGCAGGCAGCCCAGCATCTTTGTCATTGCAAACTTGCAGTAGCGAGGAGCTTATTATTTGAAAGTACACCATGTCTTGGCCTTAATGCACTTTTACTAGAATACCATCACTCTTTTTTAATCAGATTGTAGTTTGGGATCAGCACTTTTCGTAGTGAGGAGACAAAGCACAGCGTAGAATGTAGTCATGGCAACAATTACGCTTAATCCTCATTTCAATCTTACTCAAATCTTTTGGTGCCTTTTCACCAGCTTTTAAGTAGTTATGTGTTTACTATATTTACACTGTATCGCTGGAAATGTGCCAAATTTGCTAAACAGATGCATTTGGTGGTTTGAGATTCTCTCAGTGACTGGGAGTGTCGTCAGCGCCCGAGTAGGGGTGATTTAATTCTGATGGTTGTGTGACAGTTAACAAAAAAAGAGCTTCATTAACAAAACAATTTCAGTTTTATTTCTCTTGGATTGGTTAAAAACGTCAGTATGGAGGCGCAGCAGTCGTCACGTTTTCCTTTTAGTGCTGCTGACATAAACACTAAACCTCCACCTGCTCTTGTATCATGACTGCACTTCAGGGGCAACTCCATAACCTCCCCACCCTCCTACCCACACCTGATTTCCTCCACTCTTTTGCCTGAAATGCATTAAAAGATGCTTTAAAGATGAATCAGAGAAAGTAGATGGGAATAAATGTTTTGATTTCATCTTGTGATCTTATATTTCTACCGTTTATTGACTTCCAGTTAGAAGAATATCAGTCGTTGCACTTTGCACTCAAGCTGGACATCATTTGCAAAGCGGTTAATAATTTGACATAGATACATGCGAAGAATAAGCAAACTGCTGAGCTCCACAGCCGCAGTTCCTCAAACTGTAGACGTGTGAGAGGAACGAGTCTATGAATGGTGAGTTAGTTACCATGGTGCTCCTGGATAAAACCCAAATTTGCCTTGTTGCAGAGCTCTGGTGAAGGAAGAGTAGTTGTACTGTTAAACACTAATAGGTGTGTTAAATGTGATTATTGTTGCCATATCTGTGAACATGAAGCCTAAAGTAACAGAAGTCTGTGTTGTTGGTGCCAAAAGTAATTACTACAAGAAGTAGTGATGTGTTCAGAGACATCTTCTGTAAGCACAGGCAGCGTCCCGTTGCCTGGTCTTGGTCTTGTGCTGCTCATACAGCGCAATACATTTGTTCTTGAGTTGTGATACACAGAATTACAAAAAAAATGTCTCATACTTCTCATGAGTGCCTGATATTCAATTTACATTGCATGAGTTTTGCTTTTCCTTCATAGTGTAACTAAACGTTAAGTTTGACAAATTCAACCAAAATGTTTTGACCTCTCTGAGCTGTTAGCGGTGTGGAGAGGGACTGAGAGTGGAAGAGGCAGATGGATCATTTTATAAATATACACATTAGCCTGTATCATTTGTACTACATTGCACTGCCATGTGTTAATGTTCTTTTTATTTCCAGATTGTTAAAAAAGGAAAAATAACAAATAAAGATTGAGCCAAAAGACGAGTTGGGATATTTTATTTATTTTGCGACTGTGGCAGTAACAGTCATGTATTTTTTTTCACTAATTTACACTAATTTCATGCTTTAGTCCACTGCAAGTAGAACCACTGCTAAAAAATGAGAATATATATACTGGGTAACATTTAGAGGAAAAACCAGATCTGATGTGAATCCCTCGGTACGTAGAATGTGAAACGAAAATGTCATTTAGTTTGCTGACATTTATGTGTCTCCATTTATGGGCTCGAATACTGTGTGTTTATGCTGACTCAGAAACTGTTTGTTTATCACAAACTTTCCTCTTCTCTCCTTCCATTTGCTCTCATTCATGTGTGTGTGATCATCTCATCAGTAACCGACATTCAGTTTCATCTGTTATCATTGCAGACTAAATGTTCTTGAATCATTATCGTGATAAAGACGTCACTGGCTGCTTAACGAGAAGCTTTGTTGCACCGATCGTGCTATAAAAGTTTATTTTGTTTGTGTTACCATGTGATGCACTTTGTTCTTATTGCCATATCCAGATGTTTTGTTTTTTTCATATGTAATGTAGAAACCACACATGCATCTGATGTCTAGTAGCATATCATTGAGACGTTAGCTGGAACTAATGGTTTTGTCTTACGCTTGGTGCTTCCTGTTTCAGACTCAGACTTCGAGGCCTTCACAAGCTAACCCGATTGGCTCATGCTGCTCTGTGCCCTAGCCCTGCCCGGAGGTAAAGAACCGGTGTGAATCTGAGGCACCCTGAGAGTTGTTGAGTCATTCCTTCAGACGCCCCCGTAGACTCCATGTAGATCAGGTCAGATGATGCTGCCGTTTTGCACAAGTGATAAAAGTGTAACATGTCCTTGTACGTCTGCTCTTACAGGTCAATTCCCCCACGATGCACTTTTCTCTCTCTCTCTGCCCACCAAGGCTCCTACCTGCTGAATGACACTTAAAAAGAAAAAAGGCGTGTGTAAAAAGACGTGTATTTAATCTGTATGTGCGAGTGTGTGCGAGTGTGTAGAAAACTGTGGAGCGAAAGACTGGAATTTTTGTACATTGAAACCCAAGGACATAGTTCTAACCATCTCTGCGTTAAACAGCAATGTTTTTGTTCAGTTTTAACTAACGTTCTGGAAAAAACAGCTGCACAATATGTAATTATTATTGTACACAGAGTGTTAAATTGCTACACTGGAGGAACAAATATTGCTGCTAGTTAAAAAAAAAAGGGTGCACAAGGAAAAAAAAAAAAAAGTCTTCTGAAAAACATAAAGCAGAGAAAATAAAGTATTTCCCGCTGACTACTCCCAGCCAGTCTGTGGTAGTTTATCGCTGCAAAAAGGAGAGTTAATATCAAAAAGTTGACAATAAAAAAAATAACTATCTTGACAATATTGTAAAAGTTATTTTTGACTGCTTCACTTTTGAGTTTTGTCTGAAAAGCATGGAGATGAAGTGCTGTCACAAGCAGACAAGAAAAAAAAGAGCACTCGAGCCTTTCATGTTTGTTTTCTGCTGCATCACATCACAAATTTATTTAGGTCAAGTCAAAAATACATTTTTATAGATATTTTCTATCTGTCTGCTACATGAAATAAACACAATCATCAGGATGAATTATTTACATTAATCACAAGGTCGTACATTGAGTGAGACGGTAAAAAGAACACGAAAGAGAGAAAGAGGAGGGGTGTGGACCGGTGCTAAAGGAGCAGTGCTGAAAGCAAACAATCATGTTCTCAAGGCAAAAAAAAACAAGCCTCACAAATAAAAACTTGCCAGAAGTCAACACACACTAGACAGTAGTATACAGTATTCTGCTGGACACAAAACACCACATTCAGAGAGTTACGATGGAGAAAATCCTCACCGAGTTTCAGTAAGGTAGAGAAGTTCGCAAGGGGATTTAATTTTAACATTGGCCCGATTGTTTATCAGAGCAGCCGAAACAAACCCTTTGATTCGTCATTTGAGGTAATCATGTCCACTAAAAGGCAAAAGTTGAATGAGATGGCGGTAAGATAGATAAAAACACTCTGATGTTAAAGCCATTACAGTCAAACAGAAGGACTGTCTGACCGTATGACCACACAGCCAATGGCTCCCTAATCTGTGCTCAGGAGAAGTGTTTCATCTGGGTTCACACAGGCACAAAGGTTCTGAATCTGGTAATTTCTTTTGGCCGGGTCCTTGTGTAATTAGGTAGAAACTTCACAGAGCAGAGACGGAGATCAAATTTGTGCCACAATAGTGAAGAAATTTGACCTTTTGCATCCTGCCAACAAAACATTTCCTACCCTTTATCATTGTAGAACTTCCAAAAAGTTTTTAAAAACCCAGAGAATGAGTGGATGAAAAAAGAAATACTGCAGGTTGACAACGGGAGCGGTGACGGCTCCGAGTGTGGCCGAGCAAGTTCTTATTTACAGTAACGGACATACATGATCGGATGGCGCGTCCTTTGGGTCGGGTGTTTCTCTTGTGTATCTGCATTTCGTCGGCGTGTCCTTCGGCTGCCGCGTCTCACTGTGGCAGCGCTTTCAAGATGGCGTTCACCTCCTCGGCTACTGCTGTCAGAGCAAACTCAAACTGGTCCTGATCGGGAAGAGCAGCAGAGAGAAGGTGGTGGTCAGAGACAGGACGGACAGAGACGCTGAGGTTATGATGGACGTCCACGCTACATGTCAGGAAAATAAACACTTGACAAGGACACACGGACAGTCGGTACCTTGGTGCGCACCAGGCCTGGTCTCTGGTCTCTGATGTGCTCCAGTGTGGCTGCAATGTCAATCTCCTTCACTCCTAATGACAGCAAGAACAGCAACAGCATCACAACTAGCTCTTGAGACTCCTTGACACTATGTTGGTGTTAAGTACCGTCTCTTCTCTCAGCCACTGAAAAAAGTGTAAAAAGAGGCTTCTGAGCTTCTATTCGTTAGCCAATTCATTTTCTATGGTTTGGATGTGTTAACTTAGCTCTGTGATCCTAAATAGCTAAATAAAACTCACAACTTTTAGATCTGTAAAAAAAAAACCACCATGAAATGATTCATTTAGGGAGCATATGTGAAATACAGTGGTGGTCCATCAGGACCAGCAAGGCCTTCTCTGCTGGCCTAAACTCTGTCACAATCACTGACTTATGTCGTAATATTTTTGCATTAATCTTTCTACATTATTCCCAACAGTCTGTTCTCTTCATGTCATAGTGTCTCTGGGCTGTGGTGCTTCCAGCAGCGTATGTTTATATCAGAGCTTTTATCCAATCATATTTCAGCCATCATGTGCTGCCAGGGTCACAGAACAAAAGCCTTTAGAATCAAAAGTGCAGGCGTCTGTAGCTTGAAATGCATCGCGATGAAACTATTGCTGTAACCAATCAGATTGAGAGTTGGTGGTCCCAGGGCCAGCTAGCTGGTCTATGATGACTTTCACATCCTCTGATTGGATGATCAGAGAGCTGAGACAAAGCTAGCGGTTCCTGTCTGTAGCGACCTGCACAGGCTAAAACTTTATCGTAAAAGTCTTTTTTTTTTTTTTTTACTTAAGCGAGCGGACATTCTCAGCCTTAAAGCAAATTAAAACTTGTGCCAGAAACACAACTGGGCAGCCCCGACTTCCAGCATCAGCCTCCATGGATATAGAACAGGACTTATTGTTGGAAGTGAAACACACGGATTAGCTGCTCAACAGAGGGATTGAACTCCTCGTGAGGAAAGAAAGCAGGATGGAGTTTGTTTTGGTGAGTAAAATATACATTTTTGTCATTTTATTGGGTTGATATTGATGCTCCTGTTAGATGTGATGTATGTGGAGCAGCTGTGGCTGCAGTTAATGGAAACTAATTATAAAAAAAAAAAGAGAAAAGAAAAGAAAAAAATTATATTAACTGGGTTTCTTGCTTTCGTAATTTCATTCATTCTCTCTACATAAGATACCCGTCTGCGATGCAACGTCCTGTTATGCTGCCTTTCTGCATAATACTGATGGTTTCTATAGCCGTGGCGTCATGATGACGGTGTTAAGAGGTGGTTTGATTCAGGCAGGACGCCACTGAAGGCCGAGGACGAAAATGCACGACCTGACACTGGTGCAATATTTGGATTGACCAGGAATCCTCAGAAATTCCTTCTTATTTAGTCACACTACCACAAATGAATGGCTCTGTCTGCTGCAGTCAGACAGTAAAGTAGGCCAAACAACAGGAGTCATGCTACAGACATACTGCATGTCACATCACAGAGTGCAATCTAACTGCTCGATCCACAAACGTGCAGCATTATCAGCATCTAGCTAAAGAATAAAGAGGATACAGCTAATGAATGGACAAAATAATAGTGTACATGTTACTATGTTAGACACAGTCTCATGCATGTATGCATACTTCAATGTGGAATAACAACCCAAACGTCTCACAAGCAGAATTATTTAACTATTTTGTAACTATAGCCCCCTCTAGTGTCCATGAGAGGTACTACATCTTCCGCTTGACTCATCCTACATCACAAAATATCCGCCTTTCAAAATGCTTCACTCCAATTTCGCTCATCTTGCACACTCTCTGCGCTCTACGTATGCATATGTACAGGCAGCTCACCCTTGGCCATGCGGTTCAGCACCATGTCGATGAGGATGTACGTGCCAGTCCTGCCGGTGCCGTCGCTGCGGAAGTAACAGAGACGCATAACTGTCAAAGCACACATCGCACTTCAACCCACTCTGCCAGCACAACATGTATCCAGCATATTTCTGCCATTTCTGGTGTGTCATAGAAATCCACGACCCATCCAGAAGCTTTTACTTTATTTACCTGCAGTGCACAATAATTGGGCAGGATCGACCTCTGTAACATTTATTCACCTTCCTGAAAAGCACAAACAAGGGACAGCAGAGAAAGAAAAGAAAACGAAAGGACAGGAAAGGTGCTTTATTGTACACTTTATGACACAAACTTTGCAATTGGTCTTGTTCACACATGTATTAAATATACATCAGCAGTTAGGAGATGACTAAATGCACACAACACACTTGTGCGGGTAGCTGATGGCTTTGTTCTCATGAAAGGCAATGAGAACAAAGCCAGTGATGGAGTTGAGTTACATATGAGGGATGGAAATATGTGTTAATGACAGATAGAAAAACAACCCAGATTGTGGGAAGGTTTGACAGGACAGGAAAAAGCAGATGCTGCGTGATGATAACTGTGGAGGACAGCGAGATGAGATTATAGGACAGAAGAGGTGAAGAGGAAGCCACAGATTCACTGTCCCTCTTGCAGTAGCCAGTCACACCTGCCAATGCTCATTTTTGTGACTATGCAACTGGAGCCAGAGTACTAGCTGCAAACCACAAAAATGACACTGGGAGATGTTAAAATACAAACCCATCAACCTGCACACTGGGAGAGAGGGAGAGAGAGAGAGAGCCAGGGTGATGGATGAGGCATGAAATGAAATTATTTGATTAAACGCTGGGTAAATGACGGGAAGGGTGGAGAACGAAGAGAAGAGAATGGACGCGATGGAGGAAATCAGAAGGATTCAAACCCGCTGATGGGACTATTGAGTCAACATAATATTTCACACACTGCATCCTGACCATCTGCTTGCTCCGCTTTGTGTTTATTTACAGAAAAAAAATGACTAAAATCCCGTGGAACCTGTTGAAGCGAGCCTGGAGTGTGTGCGTAAGTGGCTTTCTGTTTGTTTTGTTGTTTTTTTTTACCTGCGGAAGTCGAGCAGCGGCCGTGTGGAGGTGGGGATGCCGTCAGCAGGCCAGCTCAGCAGGTGAAACTGCGTCAAGGTTCTCGTCTCCTGCGTCTGGACGTTTTTCAAGTAGAAGCTGCGCACCAGGAAGTCCTTACACCAGATGTGCTCCGACACCAGGTTCACCTGAGAGAGACGAACGGAGCGAGAGAGAGGGAGGGGTGGCAGACAAAGGTACAGAAGAAGAGGGTGAACAATTTAACTTTCTGATGGAGAGTTAGTTGTGATACTAAAATTTGCAGCCGCCCAAAAATTTAAAGACGCAGCGAACTTCGTGTGAGTTAAATATTCAAGTGAACACCAGCATATAAGCAAAAGTTGACAATCAGGACATCAAATGATACCAAACAATACTAAAATGATTTAATATGAACATAAAGAATAATCATCAAAGCCACGAGCAGCGTCATGCTCCCTTTTGAATTTTTCCTCGAATTTTTGACTTTCAACGATGTCAAATCTTAAAATTCTGTATTTAATGTCAAATATCTGACTTTGCTCTCAAAATTCTTCATTTAAGGTACAATGTGCAAGATTGTGAACATAAATTTAGCGTTAACAGCGAAAATATAAAGAAATAGTGGAGTAATGGCAGAAAACAAAGTTACATCAACTTCTCTGCATTGTTTCGACAGCTGGTCTGGCCACGTGTGCATGTTAGTGCAGAGTGAGTCCCATCCTTTGAAACTCTTCGCTGCATTTAGAAACAGACCAATTTTGGCCTTGAATGTGGCTTTTAAAAAATGAAAGTGCATTTAGCTAGTGCCCTAAAAATTATCAGAATTCTAAATCAGTTTATTTTCTTTAAGAGGTGTGTCAGGACTGGTGTCACGAAAGATATATTTCAAATCCAAACTACAAACTACAAGTTTTCTCCTTTCAAAGTAATCCCCCTGGAGTCTAACACACTTCCCCAGCCTTCTCTGCCTTCACGCCGCCATGCACTCCTGGAAGGATTCCTCCAGGATCCTCCTCAGTGGGTCCCGTTGATGACCCCCTTGAGCTCGGGGAAGAGGAACAAATCCCACGGAGCCAGGTGGGGTGAGTAGGGAGGTTGCTCCAGCACAGAGATGTTCTTCTCAGCCAGGAACTGTCAGATGCTCAGTGAAGCAGCCACGACTCGTCCTGCCACAACTCTCACCTCTTCTCAAGCACTGAACGAAGCAAACCAGGATCTCTTTGTAGACGTGCTGGTTGATCGTCTGAAGGGGAAAACTGGTAGTTTGTAGTTTGGGTTTGAAATATATCTTTTGTGACACCAGTCCTGGAACTTTTCTGACACACCTCGTATGTTATTCGTTTAATTTTAGCTCGATGTGGGTCCACCATTGAATCAGACACATGGAGCAGAATGGAAACGAGAAAGGTGAAGTGAAAATAACGCTACTCTAGTTGATCTAGATCTATCAGCTCTACTGCAGCCATTCAATGTATTGTATGATGCTGACATGGTTGGATGATCTGTTGTTATCTTTGGAGTTCACAACCCCTCTAGCTGTATCTGAAAAAGAAGGTTGGTGGGAGGTGGGTCTGGTGGTTCCGAATATTGGACACAGAACTTCAGATTATTAATACAAATCACTTGTCCACATACAGTGTCTTTTGACTGAGAGAGCTAACGCAGGGACACCTCACACTGAAGGTTTCTTCCGTGCTACATTTAAAGCTCAGACAGGACTGCGGGAGATTAACCTCGTAGATGTGGTAGAGTGACGAGCCCTCGTCAGGCCAGTATCGTTCGCACTGCTTCTCTCCGTCCTCCAACAGAGCCGTCATCATCACAATCACCGTGCAGCCGTTCTCCCACACCATCTGGAAGTCGAACAAAGCGAGCGTATGAAGACACAAACAAACACACCCTCACCAAGATGATGTGATTGTCAGTAATTGCGTAACACGAGGCTGTAACAGAGCAGATTCTCCGTAGATGGGATGCTTCGGGCCTACGTTGTTATAGTTCTGTCTTTTTTTTTTATATCATTGAATAGAAGGTAAATTCAGTTGCAAGCGAGGAAGACAAAGTGGAAAACAAAAAAGTCAAAGAAAGCAGAGGGAAGATTGTACCGACCTGCCAGAAATCAGCGACAGTGTGTGGCAGAGGTCCCTGTGTGGCGATATAAGCCGGTTGGCGAGGGTCGTGATCGAACTGTTGATTAGAAAGAAATAGAAAACAGCAGAGCGTTTTATAAGTTTACTGCTCAGAGAGTCAGATATACAGTGAGTGTAGAGATTGTCTAACCAGAGCAGAGTAGAACGCCAACAAATACCTGCAGGTCCAAAGTGAATTACACATGAAAATAATGAAAGAATGGCTGTTTATTGGAGTGTTTTGGATTATTAGAAGAACTCTTACAATGATGCTGGCGTTGATGTAATCTTGTTTGTTGGGGTTTACTTCAGCCTTCAGCTTCACCCGAGAGTGATCATCTGGGAAAGAAAGCAAGCGTTTCAAAAAATTAGAACTTAATGAAATAATAAATGGATAATACAGATTAAATTATGTGCTAAAAATATCAATTAAAGGTCAGGATATTTAATTTGGTGATACTTTTTTTTAACTTTAGCATTCACTTTGCAGTTCAAGGCTATGAAATCCCACAAACAATATAAATGATTAAAAGACACATTGATGAACTAACAGGGGAGGGACTCGGCGTGTCTGCTTTTGTCCATGTTGCTCGGGACTTGGGCCACGGCTACTGAACTGGGTTCGGCCTGATAGGAGCACAGGGCCTCCCACTCCTTCTGAAGGCGGTCCTTATTGCGCAGGTGATCCTCCATATACGCCTGGGGGAGAGATGTGAAATCAACATTTGCTCGTCAAGGATTATTTTTTTTATAGCAGGAGAGAGTCAGTTTCCTCTCTGCTCACCAGGATCATGTGACCAGTGGAGATGTCCATGTTGGACTGGGCCGGCTCTTCACTCCAGGACGGGGTGGAGCTGTGGGTGGAGGACGGGCTGTGCTGAGGACCATCGCTGAACTGGGAGGACACGCTGCTGACGCGGGACGTGTCCGTACCCCTCCGTCCACCAGCGCCGGTTCCTATAGCGGAGCCCGCGATGCCGCTGCTCCCCCCGCCCACGCAGTCCTGGCGGCACAGGGAGGATTTAGACGCCATGTGCTGCCGACACAGCTCCTGAATGAAGTAAAGAGGTTGCAAAATGGTAAGAAAAATAATTGACGGAATTCACATGAGGGTAGCAACTATATATTAGTATTTATTTAATTAGTTGGTATGTATTAACCCCATGAATCCCAAAACCCACCAGTGGATTTAGATGGAACACTACTAACTTTTACAAAACCACAAAATATTACAGCATTTGTCATAGCAACAAGCTGTTAAAACCGAAAAAACTGTCTGATTTTCAACTTTCTGCTGGTCCTCATCATGTGCGATGTGCAGTTCCATCAGAAGAATTAACAGAACCTGAGCTTTAAACTGTGATATTTAACAAAATAATTGTATTCTACGTGTCTCATTTTAAAAAGCGACTTACTTAAAAAAAAAGCGACTCAGCTGCAACCTACAGTTATGAGACAAACATTCCAAGACTTTTTGGCTGAACTGGGCTGAACTGCAGGCTGTGTTTACAATTAGACAAGTAAGGAAACAAATTAAGAATATTAGTAGTAAAATATCCTATAGTATGTAAACACACCATGTTTTTCAGTATTGGTGAGGCATGTGGGCACTCTTGCATAAAACCTTTATGATTTGTGAGATTCTAACTTTGTCATCCTGTGCATCAGACATTTTTGAGTTCTTTCTACTTCTAGGCTGGCTGTGCTTTCCATGGAGATGCAGGACTTCATATTGCACTAAAGAATGAACCTACAGTGAGTAAAAATGAGACGTAAAATAAATGTAAAAATGCCAAGAACCTGCTCAGGGTTCCAAATGGTTAATGTGTTGATGTTTTCAGCTTACTGCATCACTCTAAATATAATGTATGCTACCTGCACACAATCACCTGCCTGATCTATGATTTTCCTAATATTCCATATTCCATGAATAACAAATTGACACATTTATTAGCATATTCAGCTAAAATATTTGACAACACTGTTCTTCTTAAAAACCTTTAAGCCCATTTTATACGTACATGTGCAGGCGCTTTATTAGTCCATGATGCCTTTACTGTATGTTGCCTTACCTGGTAGTCAAAGTGTGTTTCTGCTCCTCCCTCTGGCCCCAGGCCAAGCTTGCCATTGGCCACCTGCTGAGCATAGTGCCTGAGACAAGCAACGGCCATGGCCAATACCAACACGCCTCCAACAACTGCCATGGAAACAAGGGTGATGACTGTCCCACTGGAGCCCTGGGAAACCCTGGTTACCTGAGGGAGACCCCGTGCATCCGTCCTCTACGAAGAAAAAAGACAATCACAAAGAGTGGTGAGCAAGCTATAGGCGGGGAGGGGGGGAAAGGAACGCAAAGAAAACAGATCATTATCTCGTCGGAACTTCTGTCTTTTCAACGGGCGCATCAGTAGTCAGCCCAGGCCAAGCTGCTCCGGGGAGTTTCACCCTCACTGCAGCATCTCAAAGGTCACGCATTTCATCTTAACAAAAGATTTGTTTCTCTGTAACTGCACATGACAGCACTGTGCACTCGATGAGCAGCTGAAGTTGAGATTTAAAGACAGAGCTCTGAAAGGTCAAGGTGGTATGCCCCAGGAGCCCATTAAAAAGACAGCTGAGGCAACACGGAGACCGGCCAACCGTTGCATGGGACGTGCCACACATCAGTGCTGCACATTACAGTCTGCCCCAGAGTGTCGCTCCAACTGTGCCTCATTTTCTTTTCCACATTTCAAAACTATTTTTTAACAAAGCTACCTGCTGCAACTACAAAGTGTACCTTTAACATTTTGCCATTTCAGAGCTAAATCCTGTGCGTGGTCTGTTTGTTCCTCAATCACTCAAAACCTTTGTCCAAAAAGAAAAAAAAAAAAACACAAAACTGCCACTTCACTAAAAAGACATTAAACGAACCACTCCTGAAAGAACAAATTCCTTCTAAAGGTCAACCTCGGAAAGCAAATCAAGAGCCGCAAATAGCAGATAAACTGGATTATCATATAACAGAGGGAACCGTAGCAGAAAACAGAGATCCTAATTTGTACAAAATATTTTAGCTTTGTCCGTACTGTTATCCTATGATTACTTCTGAGACACAAAGCTTACTTAAATTACTTAAATCGCAGAAGAAATTAACCTTAGCTTGTGAATTTACCGCCTGAAATCGCATAAAATCCTCAGAAACGCTTTAAAATCAGGAACAAAGACAAATCATAGCAATGGATTACTAACAACTGACTCCTAATGAGTGTAAACATCACTATTAGCTGATTTAAAACACTGCCAACTGATCTGGTAGCACAACTACGACGTTATCTCTGCCCCCCCTGGATGCGGTCGGCGTGCACGTTATCCAGATGTTCCATCTAAATGGGCGTTTCGTTATCAATCCATTAGACGTGTGAGATGTGGCTGATGATTCAGAGGCCGCCTGGAATCACGCTGTTTGTGTGAACAGCGGATAATGAGGTTAATGACACATGTGACTGTTGCCATAGCACCTGGGACCTGGGAGTGGGGGCAGGAGGGGAGGGTGAGGGTGAGGGGATGAAACGCCATGGCAACAAGTGAAACGCTGGTTGTTGTAAAGTGTCGTCTCGCTTGTTCGCTCCGGCCACAAGGGTTGACACACACACGGACGTACGATTAGACACAACATTACAAAGTGCGGACGGAAAACAATCTTTATAGGAGAGATGGATGGACTGTTTTTGTTTAATAAGAATTAATCAACATATTCTCACTGATCATTCTACGTCCGTCCTCACTGTTACCACAAATGAAGAATCTTATCCTGACTAAAAGACAAGCAGCAGCCATATTGTTAAAACAAAACTGCTGGGATTTTGACACCGGCGAGCCTGATGATCTGCCAAGCCAGGACACATTCATGATTCCGTTACAGTGTAAAGAATAGAGGGGAATGATTATATCTCTGTTGCCTTGACAACCGCTCCATATGTCACCGATAGGAGGAGCCGCAGAAGTGTGTCACCGTGAGTGTGTGGTATCAAGTACCTCTCCCACACCAGTCTGTACGATCTTCAGGCCTGTCTCCGACTCCAGGAAGTTCTTTTCGGATACTGTTGAAGTGAAAAAAAAATAAAAAAGCAGTATTTGAGGAGAACACTGTGGCAGTAACAGGATGATGTACCCACGTCTTTTTCGCCTGTGTGTGGGTAGGTAGGTGTTAGCGTGTCTGTTTCGAGTCTCACCAGCTTTAGCAGCCACTTCTGCAGCCGTCATGTTGTGCTCGTTCTGGCGGATGCGGAAAGTCAACGCGGGTCCGACGACGCTGGTGACACACAAGCACAGGGACACGCATGTTGGATGCTTCAGAGCGGTTAAACGTAACATAAGCATGGAGAGTAAAGTAGTACACGTGTACGGCACATCCAAATGAACTGTGGTGTTACCTGATGTTGATGAAGCTGCTGGTTGCCAAGTGGATTTTATCAGCCAATAGCTCCAACAGCTTCACTCCATCGTACAGGCTCAGAGGACTACGAATGAAAAAACAACATTATCCTTATTAGAAACTGAACGCCAAAACCCACCAGCAAGTCAGAGAGACGTGAAAGCCACAATTTAAGCATTAATCAGGCCATCAAACTGTAAAAACATGTAGAACCTAGAGATTTTCAACAATGCTTATTGAGTTACTCATCTGTGACGTGCCATTCTGTCAAACCTTGACAGAATCTTGGGTTAAAATTTGGAAGTGCTGCTACAACTACTGTTAACCCTAAGCCTAAACCCAAAATCATTTTGCAGAAATAAACCATTTGGGTTAACTAGATTCAGTAAAACAAAAAAAATATGCGCTCCTTCGCACAACCGTGAAGCCGCAAGTGGCTCAGCTACAATCATGTGACAAAAATTCAGGAACTATCTGACTGAACTGCAGGCTGAGTTTACACTGAGAGAAAAAGAAAAGTACTGAAATTAAAAGTATAAGTAGTAATCTATGGTTTGTAGAGTCACTGTTTTTTCCAGTACTAGCAACACCTGTGGGCATCTGGAAAAGTACTTTACGTGTTGATTCCATTATTTTTTTTCAATTATTGCCAAAAAGAAAAAACCCTCACCCTTTTTATGATTTAAGCCATTCTAACTTTGTCATGGTTGGTGTAAACAGAGGATTATGTAGAGGTGCAGGACTTTATATTGCAGTGAAAAATCAGCTTACAGTGAGCAAAAATGCCCAGAAATGAATGAATATCCTTTTTTTCCTGCTTTTT